CGCCAGGTGAGGTCTCACCCGGGGCACGGCGGTGGAGGAGAAAGGTGGCCCATGACATCCGGACGAGTTGGGAGGGGTGGAACGAGGCGAGGCGGACAACATCAGCCGAAAATCAGCCCAAAAGAACAAGAAACGGAGGATCCGTGGCTGAAACAAGGCTGCACAGCCGAACGCGGGAGGAAATTGCCGAAACTTTCAAAATCTAAAATCAGGGTTTGCGGGTTTCTCGGCGTCTCATCGTCGCGAAAATCTCGCCGTGAACAAAGGACCCGCAGAAGGGCCCAAGGGCGTTAGAGGAACATGGATGCTGCTTTGCTAATCTCTTTTGCTTCGCTGGCGATACTTCTCTCGACCAGTGAGGCTTTCATCCGTCACCATGGGAGGCGCGGACCACTGATCTCCCACGCCAGGGACGGCACATTGACAAACAACGCCTTGCGTGGACAGTCGCCTCTCCGGATGGCCATCGGCGGCACTCATCTGTCTGAATCTGTAGGCGTTCATTCATTCATCGCATCTCTGGTACGACGCTTGCCAAGTGCGTGGTGTGTGGTGTGTGGTGTGTGGTGTGCAGGAGAGGGCCGAGCTTCAGCGGACTGCTGCGGCCGTGGCCACGCCAGGCAAAGGGATAACTGCATGTGATGAGGGACCGGCCACAATCGGTGTACTGATGAGCAGCCACACACACACCAAGCAGTTATCAACACCGTGTGACTTTGTGGGTGTGACCGTGTGATGAATGAACGCAGGCTCGCTTTGATGCGGTGGGCATCGCCAACGATGAGGAGACCCGGCGAGCATACAGACAGATGCTCTTCGAAGCGCCAGGGGCGGACGAGTACCTCTCCGCAGCCATACTGGTCAAGAAAAGACGGAAAAGCATCAGGGGCTCGGCTTACCGATTTCTCGTTCTTCTGCAGGATCCCGAGACGCTTTATCAGAAGAGCAGTACCGACGGCCGTCTGTTCGCCGACGTCTTGGCGTCTCGCGGGATCTGTCCCGGCGTGAAGCCCCACCTGAAGGTCTACACATTGCCTGGCACCAATGGTGACACTGTCATGCAAGGCCTTGACTCGCTGGCCGTCCGATGTCGCGAATACTACAAAATGGGTGCCAGATTCGCCAAGTGAGCAAAAGAAAAGCAGAAGAGAAGACTGCATCTCATCAGTGCAGTGAATGTGTGCTTCTCTTCTCGTGGATGTGGCCTCTCGACACGTCACGTGGCTGCTGCTGTGGTGCGTGGCGTGCAGGTGGCGGAGCCCTTTGGTGATTGATGTGGCGAAGGGCTGCCCCACCGACCTGGCCATTCGAGCCAACATGCAGGACCTGGCGCGTTATGCGTTGATCTGCCAGTCGGAGGGCCTGATGCCGATCGTAGAGCCTGATATATCCCTTTCCGGCTCTCACGGCCTGGAGATTGCCGTCGAGGTCAATATCAGAGTGCAGAGTGGGTTGTTCAAAGCCATGGTCGACCACGGCGTCTATCTGCAAGGCTCCACTCTGAAGCCCAACATCGTCAACCCTGGCAGAGACTGTCCGAAGCCCTACACAGTGGACGAGATCGCTGAGGCCAACCTGTTCGTCCTCGAACAGTCCTTCCCGGTTGCCATGAAGGGGGCCAATTACCTGAGCGGCGGGCAAGACCTGACGGCGGCCGCGGCGAGGCTGAACGCGATCAATCGGCTGAAAAAGGCCAAAGGGAGCGGGCCGTGGAACCTGTCCTTCTCATGGAGCCAGGCATTACAGGTGTGAAAGGATGCATGGATGCATGGATACACAGCCGTGACGATCGGATCCGTGTGTGCCATGCCATTGTCTCTCTCTCTTGTTGTCTGCAGCTGCCTTTGCTGGAGTTGTGCAGGGGGAAAGGCGCTTTGCAGCTGGACGAGATGGCAGGTCTCTATTTGAAGGAGCTCGAGATAGCAGGCCAGGCGGCGAGAGGCGAGTGGCAGGCGGCAGAAGGCGATGGCGACCACAAGGGCAGCAGCAGCGTGAGCCGGCCCGAGGAAGACGATGATGCTTCGGTGGAGACTCAGCCAGTGGGTGCAGTTGTGGCCGCGGGATGACCTGCAGGCAGTCAAAACGTTTGCAAAGAAAGGTTCAGCTCAGACCAGAGAGGCCTGTAGGGTAGGGTGTCCTGTCCATGTGTTTTCTGTCTGTGAGTCAGTCTTGTGTGGCGTGCGTGTGTTGTGTGCATGTCTGTCTGTTCTTTCTCTTCGTGTGGTGGGTATGTGGATGAATTGCTCGAACAGAGCATGTCATGTGCTGTGCATTTTTGCGATGAGTTCTTGCTCTGGCGATGATTTGAGTGTGTCTGTGTGTGACTGATGACTGATCGATCCATCTCTCCCTGCCGCTGCATCGCTTAAATCAGCCATCAGTCCGCTAATTCATCCACTCAGCGTCCACACAGACATACAGACGTCCGTCTGGGTCCCTCTCTTACGAGAGCCCATCCAGCCCAGCCATCTTCTCAGCCATGCACATATTCGACACGCACCGTGCAGCATTGAAGGCAACACGCCACGCAACCAGCACACGCAGTGTTGCCCTTCCCCCCTCCATCGCTCCCTGCCTCCCTCCCTGCCTCTCTACAGAATCCCCGGCCCACCTGAGTCTGCTGATATCAAAGAGAAGACCCCTCTCAAATTACCTCACGCACACGCACCCACCGACCCGCGCCCCCGCCCCTCCGCCCTCCCACCAAGGGATGCATAGACGAAGCCAGGAAGGACCGGCCATTGATGGCCGGCCGTGTCAAGGCCCTCAGATGTGTCCCTCCCTCCCTCCCTGCCTATAGATGGATGGAGATGTGACTGACGCCTTCACAGTGGTCGTTGTGGCTACGCGCCTCCCCTGCACCCACGACAAACAAACAGGACAGGACAGGACAGGACAAGGCAAGCAGCAAATGAAGGTCAGACACTCGAGCGTGGTTGGATTGGGTTGTGGTGCACTGCAGCACACATACATGATGATGTTGTTGATGGGGATGAAGATGAGCTTGACAAAGAACCCGATGAACCCCATGATGGCGAACCCAATCGCACACGCTAGCGCTATCTTGCGGAACTCTGAAGTATATGTATAGCCACCAGACACACACACACACACACACGTGGCTGGCTGCCTTCTTATGGCTTCCTCTGTCCTTGTGAGTCGCGTCGTGTTGAGTTACCCTTGGCGTCAGGTTTGGTACATCGTCTGACCAGTCTCACGCTGTCTTGCGTGAACTCCTTCATGCCCTGGAAGGCCCACCCGATGGGGTTCTCCTTGTCCAGCAGAAACGCCGGCATCTTGCCACTCAGAGATGACGCCATCACCAGATCTTCCTTAAACAAACCTAGATCACTGACGACCTCTTCACACACGGATGATCCTGCTGGAGTGGAAGCCCAGACGCCGCAGAAACGCCGAATGCGATCGTTGGAATTGCGAGCTTACATCTGCTTTCCCTTTTTGCTGTGCCTTTCATTGCTTAAGACCTTTCTCCTCTTGCAGATCTGACGTCTGCTGTTCACTGGCACCAATCAAACAACAGAGGACTCGACCAGCGAAGCGAGCACCATCCATCCATGGTGCAGCGCCAGCATGTGGTGTTTGTGTTCGGGACGCTGAAGAGAAAGGAGCCCAACCACCGAGTGATGGATGACATCAAGGCCACGTTCATCGGCACGGGGCGGACGGCACTCAAGCAGCGGCTGTCGCTGGACGAGCGGTACGGCATTCCCTACCTGTTCATGCCGACGGAGAAAGAGGAGGGGCACCACGTCCATGGCGAGGTGTACCTGTGTGACGATGCCGCCATGGCATTCCTGGTAAGTGCATGGGCAGACAGTCGGAGAGAGGGGGGGGTGTCATGCTTCGATCTCTGATGTGCTACCTGGCGATTGGTCGGTGTGATTGATGTGGTTGATGTGTCAGGACCACTTTGAGGGTGACACACTCACTCACACCAACCCCAATCACGTTGATGCCCTTCCTTGCAGACTGTGTGTGGTGCCCCTCCCCCATGTGCTGTGATGGATGCAGGTGTGCCGAAGATGTACGAGAGGGAGCAGGTCAGTGTCTTGCTGGAGGCACCCGTCACTCTCAGAGAGCCGTCAAGACTGAGAATGGAGACTGGCGGCGTGGTGAATATGTGCGACGGGGCTGCCGTGGACTCACTGCGCCAGGTGCTGCGAGATGAGGAGGGCCTGACGGACACCATTGACCTGATCGACACTCTCGAGCAGCGGATGAAGGCCGCCCAGCAACCGACACATGACGCCTCGCGTGACAGCGAGAGCTCCCCCACACCCACCCCGACCCCCTGCATCACGCCCCCTCCGATGGAGACCGGCCCAGCCACCGTCACCCTTTTGCTGCGCATCGTGGCCAACGTCTATGTGTGCTCACGGGTGCGTATTCTATTCGGAGGAAGACATCTGTGTGTGTGTATAATGAAGGGGTGTGCGCATCGCATGGCATCATGTGTGGCGTGTGTGGGTGCAGTTGAACCCTCAGCGTGGCGTGATAGAGAAGCAGGAGATGATAGCGTGTTACCATGACGACGGCTCTTATGTCAAACCGGATGAGAGGAGAGGGTAAGCATCGAGTGAAGAGCAGCGCAGCAGACAGGGAGCTTTTTCCCCCGGCTGTGTGTCCATGTGCTGAGGTGTGTGTGGATGTGCGCGACGATCTGTCGATTCGATTTTGGTTTATGGCGGGATTTTGATCTCGGCGTCTTGACTGACCGCTTGATATCTAATCATTGCCTGGGCGTCGTCTGTCGCCTTCTCTTAAACGCACTGACGCGTCCAAATGCACTGTCCATTCAGCCCACTGAAGCATGCAATCCGCACCAACACACGCACTATCACAACAGCATCAACCAAATGGCAGTGCGGAAGGCCCGGCCCAAAAGGCTGCCGCCACGGCCAAATCGCAGCCTACGCCTTCAGCACATCCTTGACCACACCACGGACGAGTGCCACTGTGCGTGGGTAAAGCGCTGCGCCCCTCTTGCCGCGAGCGGAGCGCTCCGTTGTGAAGACAAGGAAGCACGTGCTGCCGAATACCGTCAAGTAGACAGCAAAGTCGTCGATGGACTTGTCTCCAGACAGAATCACAATCGTCTCTCTCTCAGGCTCCTCTTCACCGATGTCAGCCGCCCTGCGATAGCCCCCCCAGATGGGGCTCGGCTGGGCGCCCACCTCCGCGGCCAGCTGCTCCTCGGCATCTCTCGTCATGAGGACATCCGCACCCAGATGTCGGATCATGACGCGTCCGTCGTGCCAGTTACGGTCAGCTGTGTGGACTATGAGGTCGGTGAACGATGAGTACGCTCTGTTTCCACCTGCAGGCAGACAGGCAGACAGCCAGGCAGCACACAGACCAACACGTTGAAGACCAGGAAGACAACATCGCCTTGATGTGCTGACTGGCTTACACTTGGTGGGCGGGTCGAATGCGGCAGAAGGCAACACACTGGGCGTGTGGTATGTCATAGGCTGTGCGCTCGACCCCAGGCAGTCTTGATTGCCAACACGGCCCACTCGGAGGCTGGAGACTAATCGACGGCTGAAGGGTGAGTACTGCCGCACAGCTCCCGGCCGCGCGTCAAAGAGGGCCCTGCTGCCCACCGCCTTCAAGTCGCAGTGACAACAATGGGCAGTGAGGGCATCATGCCGCAGTACTTTAGGGGCATCATGCCGCAGTTCCTCACGAAGTGGATGAGCGGCACGATGGGCTCCCAGCAGCCTCCCTCCTCGATGACGTACAGCAGCCGCATAAGGTACTCGATTTGGCTCATCCGCTTGTCGATCCCGATTGCCAGCCGCAGGCCACCCCACACGAGGCGAGCAAGCCACACGAAGGCGTCCTCAAAGAACACACTCATGTCCGTCACCGTGTCCACATCTCGCCGTGCCCACTCCGCCTTGAGCGCCGCATGCAAGACCATACGAAGGATTTCGCTCCCAGGAAGAGCCCCGACAAACACTGGAACAAACCACTTGAACGTGGCGAGCCAGTGATCCGCTAAGAAGACGGCAAGAATCTTTCGTACCAGCCACTGCATCGGCAACAGAACGACAGCATACAGGATGCCAAGAACGATGACGGCGAAGCCAATCATCGCAGCGAGGCTGCCGAGGTGGCCGATGGCGGTTGGAAGGGCGCTGCAGGCGGCCTTGAGGGTGTGAAGGAGGAAGGCCTTGGCCGTCTTGTGTCGCTTGCGATAAGCCAGCACGGAGCTCAGGCCGTTGGTGCGGATGGCGGCGTCGAGGCGGCCCGTGAGGAAGTCCTCATTGACGAGATGACAGCCGACGCTCCTGGACGTGGCGCGGAGGGCGCCGCAGCCGTCGGCTTTGAGATACCTCCGCAGGTGGAGGGAAACGTCGTCAGGGAGGCCGAGCAGATAGCTCCGCTCACCCATTGGTCGAGAAGGAAACACCGGAAGGTCCTTTGTCGCGGCCGCGAGCTCAACATTCGTCAGAGTTTACGGATGACAGCTGCTCTGAGTTGTGTGAGTTAACAGCTGGCCATGGATGGGAACCCGTGGGACGCTACGGATGGCATTGACCCATCTCATGACCCATTCAACTCGGACGAGCAGCTGCCGCCCGTAGAGCAGGCACCCGACCAATACCTTCACAACCAACGCGACGACTGGCAAGAGGATGATGGCTATGATGGCCACAACCACCACTACGCCCCGGCAGCATCGGGAGCAGCAGCGGCGGCAGCAGCAGCCAGCAACGGAGGCGCTCGCCGTGGTCGTGTTGGCGCGTTGCATCCGTCTGTAGGAGCCCGGCGTATGTCGAACATGTCATCGCAGCAGCAGATGGAGGGGCTGGCGCTCGAGACCTCCATGCTCTTCGGACGACTGTCGGACGAACAGAAGCAGGTACCGGTGTGCGTGTGGGAACCCGCGTGGGCATGGCATGCCCCATCCACACGCCATATACACATCTATGCGCTCGTGTGTGTGTGTGTGTGTGTGCAGGTTGTGGATGCGCCGATGGACAGGCCGCTGCTGGTGGTGGCCGGGCCGGGCAGCGGCAAGACCATCACCATGCTGTGCCGAATCATACGGTTCCTGGTGGGCCTGCAAAGAGAGGGAGGAGAGGGGGAGAGAGGGAAGGGATGCCATGTGATCTCTCTCTGTGAATGTGCGTATGTCTGTGTGTTTGTGTGCGCAGCGAGAGGGGTCGTATCCCATCGCCGCCCTGACCTTCACACGAAAGGCTGCGGACGAAAGTACATATGACACACACACATGGCACACACACAGAGAGAGACTTTTAGAGCGGCGATCGTCATCTTGTGTCTGTCTGTGTGGGTTTGTGCAGTGAAGGCTCGTCTGATGGTGGAGATAGGTCAGTCGGGGCCTCACACATGCACACACACGCGTGCGCATCCACATCGGTCCTGCAGGCAACTGCATCGGAGGTCTGTCTGACGCCACGTCGCAGCGGGAGGCGGTCCTCACCATACAGGACAAACTCTACATCAGTACGTCAGTCAATACACCCCAGCCGACACACCGCCCCACCTACGCAGATGTGTGTGTGTGTGTGTATGTGTGTGTGGACGCATCCATCACGTCAGACACCATCCATGCCTTCTCGATGAAGCTCCTCCGCCAACACGGCTCGCGCATCGACGTGCAACCCAACTTCCGCGTCTGCACACACACACACCTCCATCCATCCATCCGATCTCTCCTTGTCTGTCTCTCTGTGTGTGGTGTGATGTGGCTGGGCGGCTGCGTTCGTTCGATGCAGATCATTCCAAATTGGCAGGCGCGTCAGTACGCCAAGGAGGTGCACACAGAGGTGCGGGCCATGGGCGACGTCCAACAAGGCGACGTCAGACGTGCACTCACACAAGCCGAAAACGGTATTATGTAATGCCATCGTGTCGTATACACCCACACTCCATTTGTGCGCATGTCTGTTGTGCATCTCTGCAGATGATTTGCAAGAGGAGGAGCTCATCGATGACGACCATGACGGCAACATCGTGGCAGAGTCACGCCCCCGTCGCGACAGCGGCAAGGTCACCGCCAAGGAAATCAACGCCGTCCTGGTATACATAACGCCATCCCCCCCCC